ATATTTCTTCCTCKCTTCCAATTGCACGGTGCAACAGCCTGCTGCCTGTGCTGGTTCAGGTACCTGTCAGACCCTTTGCTGAACTTATTAACATGGCTGGAAACAATCCACTTTTGATAGATTACCCTTTGCTACATCAGTGAGTCAAATCAGCTCACAATGAATGTCAGAGCCAGCACAAGCGGGAGGGTGGATGTGCAGTCAGCAGTAGAGAAAGAAGGCAAGAATAGAAGAAAGCTCCATCCTCCCCTTTCAGTCTCAGTGGACTCCACGTGCCTCATGAAATCATACCTTCAGAGAGCTTGTTTAGGAGGACAGAGTGCGGGCTTCTTSGGTTAAATGCTTGTTTATTACCCATATGGAAAATGAAGGAACTATCATGTCAATTTATTGCTTACTGCTATTCAGAGTTGCTTTCTTCTTCAAAAAGGAAACAGAATAGATAAGACTGTAATGAAAATAGCAGCAGTCCTGGAAAGGTCAATGGCAGTGCTATTAATGGTACGTATGTATACCTACTGTGAGGCCATGCTCACTCTATGAGGCTTCTCTTCATCTAGTCCAAACGTGGGATCCACAGACTCTAAGGTAAGAAAGAGAAAAAGCAGGAAGAGATGTTTCCCTCCCACACACTAAGGAATGAAGTACCTCCCCTTAATGGAATTACCCCCAAATTGAAGAGGAGGTAAGCATAGGTAAAAAAATAGCCTTTTTCTCATTTGTATCTGTTGCTGTGGATCATTTGAGTGAACAGATAGTGTTTTGATAATACAATGTTTTGAAGAAGTGTTACTGACTCACTTGAATCAGCTGCTGATCACAAAGGAAGAGTGGAATGAAGATGCCAAATGCAGTGGTGTCTTTCATGTTGTCTTGGTGGAAAAGGGCACTGCCACACAGAGAGATGTTTTGGCAGTAGCAGTTTAGGCAGAGGAGTACAGGTAGTCATCAGTTACAGAATCAGAGCTTTTTTTTCTGTGAAGGGCAAATGAACACACATCTTTGTGTCTTCCATTATTTGGTCTGTATGGATCCACAGGCAGAGTCCCATAGTGAAGATATTCAAGAATTGTCCCCAGTAAAGATGTGTCAAAACACTGCAATCCCCAAACCACGAAGGGTCRATGCTTTGTAGGACATTATGCCTTCCGAAAATACTTAATCTTTTACATCATTTTCCTCATTTTAGTAATWTTTTTTAATGCTGAGCAAATTGATGCAGAAGTAAGGGTACTTTACCTCCATAAGACTTTATTAGATTATATCAACATTGTTGGTTTCTTCTGTATTTTTCCCTGAGATATTTCTGACATTTTTTAAATGAAAAATTACAAGTTTAAAAGGGTATGTTCTCTTCAGAGGAGCTCTTCAAAGATCTTGCATGTAGCAGCTGATATTCCAAGCTGTTGAATTAGTAGTTCTGGGTTTCCTTTTGTACTTGTCTGTGCCAAAACATGATTAGTTTTTTCAGCCCACTCATACTCTTGGTTCGAGATGTCTGTGCATCGAGCTAGAAGGGAAACAGTCATGTGGTTCAGATCCAATATTTTATCTGCATCACAATTGTTAACATTTTTTTCCTTCTGCCCTCAGGAATCCCAGACCCTAGAGACAAGAGAGAAAGTCTAGAGAAAAGAACCTTTCTCTTGGTTGAGGAGGATGAGGTTAGAGATCAATTAGGCAACCTTAAATGCCCMCAAATTCATGGGCCCTGATGTGATGCAGCCATGAGTGCTGAGGGAGCTGGCAGATGTTATTGCTCCATCATCTTTGAGAGGTCATGGAGAACAGGAGATGTGCCWGAGGACTGGAAGAAAGATAGTGTTACACCAGTCTTCAAGAAGGGCAAGAGGGAAACTACAGGCCACTCAGGCTTTCATCAACCCTGGATGTTATCAGTAAGCATGTGCAGGAAAACAAGGTCATCAGGAGTAGTCAGCATGGATTCACCAAGAGGRAATCATGCTTAACCAATCTGATAGCCTTCTATGCTGAAATGACYGGCTGGAAAGGTAAGGAGAGAGCAGTGGACATTGTCTACATTGAATTCAGCAGGGCTTTCAACACCGTCTCCTGTAACATCCTCATAAGGAAGCTCAGAAAGTGTGGGTTAGATGAGTGGACAGTGAGGTGKATTGAGGATTGGCTGGATGCCAGAGCTCAGATGGTTGTGATCAGTGACATAGTAAATGGAGACCTGTAGCTAGCARTGTCCCCCAAGGTGTCCACTCAGTACTGAGTCCAGTTTTGTTCAACTTCATCTATGACCCAGATGAAGGGACACAGTTCACCCTCATCATCTGCTGATGATACAAAACTGGGAGGCATGGCTGACACACCCAAGGGCTGTGATGCCATTCAGAGAGACCTGGACAGGCTGGTGAGTTGGATGGAGAGGAAGCTCTTGAGGTTCAACAAGGACAAGTGCAGAGTCCTGCACTTATGGAGGAATAACTACATGCACCAGTGCTGGTTGGGAGTTGACATGTTGGAAAGCAGCTTTGCAGAGAAGGACCTTGATCTCATGGACTGGCAATGTGCCCTGGTGACCAAGAAGGCCAGTGGTGTCCTGGGCTGCATTAGGAAGAATGTTACCAGCAGGTCAAGGAACAGGGCAAGAGGCAATGGCCAGAAACTGAAACACAGGAAATTCCATGTGAATATGAGGTAAAATTTCTTGACTTTGAAGGTGACAGAGCACTGACACAGGTTGTTCAGAGAGRTAGTACAGCCTCCTTCTCTGGAAATACTAAAGCCTACCTGGACATGATCCTGTACAACATGTTATAGGTGACCCTGCTTGAGCAGGGGGTTAGACTACATGATCTCTAGAGATCTCTTCCAACCTCAACCACTCTGTGATTCTGTGATTCATTTTTCAAGCTTCTTTGCCAGAAAATGTTAACAGTTTTCATTTTGAAGTGCTTTCTCATTCCATAATTTGTTCTGTTCCTGTAGACAGCCAAGATATCCAAACTGTGTGTATCAGGAGGTAGGGGAAGAAGGGGAAACAGGTGCTGACATTTGGCCACAAGCTATTCAAAGCAAAAGGAAACTCAAGGCTGGAGCAGAGGATGCAGACCAAGTACTCTGATTTACGGAAATTGTCACAAGTGGAATCTCAACAACATGGGCAGGGTAGGGCAAAATGTTTGCTGAAATTAATAATAGCTGTAAATGACAGCTATTTTGCAGATAGGTTAAAGGAATGAAACTGAATGCATGCAAAAATCCATGATTTGACCAATACCTTTATATGCTTGGTGTAATGCTGCCCTATTGTAGCAGCTGGCGAGGGTCTGGCTCAGCTGGTACAGTAGGATGTAGTTGCGAGAATGCCACATTTCCTACTGGAAGTGAGGGAATGGTTTTCCTTTTCTTTTTAGCTTTCATACACTGCTTCTGTCTCCCTCGTTCTCAGAGTAAGTTAAAACAATCATGGGGAGAAGACATGGATCCAAACCCTTGAGTTGGTGAGACAGGCCAAGCACAGCTTCTGTTGAAATTACTGGAAAGATATTAAAATTATTGAGTGAAATTCCTGTCTTCTCTCTTCATATTCGCAAGAATTCACTTCTAGTCAAAGACAACCATAAAACCCCAAGATTCTTCATAAATCATGCCTATAAGCAATATTTATATCTATTTTAAAACTGCTAGTTATCCCTATTTTGGGTATGGATTAGGCATGAAAAGCTAAATGAAATTGAAACAGGATTTTTAAAAGTGTTTATTAGAGGAGCCTGGTAAACATTTTGAATAACTTAGCATTTGTACAATGCTAAAAGTTCTCGGTTGAATCAGGTAAGAATTAGATTTCTTCACATAAGAAATCTAATGCTGGAGAGTAACGTTGGAGTACATGAAATTTCACAGTTTTGTGTACAGAGCAGTTGAGGGAATGAGAAGCAGGACCACTGTAAGACTGAAGACAGACAAGCCTTTCCTTGTGCCGCTGCTAGGTCCTCTTCCTTTCTCTATATTCTTGCCAAAACTTCTTATTTGAGAGGAAACAAATTTTGCACCTTGTGCACTCAAATACATACTTTGAAACGTTTAGCTACTGTCATGAAGTGTTTGAGTCTACAGATCACCACTCAGAGGGATCGGCTTTGTTCAGAGAGCATCATCAGCTGTTTTCCCAGGAGGGTACCTGTGGGTTCACCTGGTTACCTRTTATATCCACTTTATTCTGAGCTGCATTCAAGAAAAATGCAAAATAAAACACTGAAAGGCACCGTGGACTTCTGTTTACTGTGAACATCAAGTGTTTCTAAAAAGYGAGTTAGTTTTTCAGAAGTAGGGAGCGAGGAAGCCCTGTTTCTGCCCGGGTGTGTGTGAGGCTGCCCGTGTGCGGGCAGAGCGGGCCTGCGCCATGGGGCGTGCAGGGGGCGAGGGGCAGCACCCACGCACGCCTTGCAGAGCTCACATAGACCTCAAAGGAGCACCCGCCGYGGCAAGGACAAGGCTCCAGTCCTCGGGACTTCATAAAAACTTTATTTGTGCAGATATATTGGAATATACTTTTTTTTTTTATTCTGTATTTTCTCTGCTTTCACTGTTGTTTGGACTCCAAAGGACTGTGAATTGGGCAGGTGCCCATGCGAAGATCTCCCTAGCTCGGGAACGGTGCCGTTGTCAGTTCTGAGCGGCACAACCGGGCAGCAGGCCCTTTYGGCCGCTTCCGAGTCAGGCTGCTCAGCCTGAAGCGGCCTCCCCCTCTCCCAAGCTCAGGCACCAGGGAAGCGGCACGTTTCCAGGGGGGGCCCCACGTCAGGACATGGGCGCCAGGCTCTCAGCAGCCGCTCGGGCCCCGCGGGCGCTGGAGGCCTGGGGTGGCGCAGCGCCTGCCGCCCAGGCTGCAGCCCGGGACGCCCCGCGGGCGCCTCCCGCCAGCGCTGGGAAAAGGGCCCCGCATCCAGGCGGGATTCCCGGGAGGCCGCGCTGGGCCCGGTGGCGCTGGCAGGCCGCCCGCGTCGCCATGGCGACTGCGCCGGGCTGCCGCCATGGCGGAGAAGGAGGGAGGCGGCGAGGGTAAGGCCGGGGCGCCACGGCGGAGCCGCCATGGCCGCGCAGCCGGGCCCTGCCACGGGCTCGTGGAGCGGGCGCTCGCAGCCGCACGCAGCGCACAGGCTCCCGCCACGCACAGCCGGGCGCCGCGGGCACAGGGCGCCCAGCCGGCCCCCGGGCCGCGCTACCCGGCGCGGCGGCCGCGCGTGTCCCCGGCTGCGCGGGAGCCGAGGCCAAGGCCGGCCTCGTGCTCRCCGCCCGCTCAGTCGTGTTTGGATGTGTCAGGCTGTATCTGCCAAGGGAAAAAAAAAAAAGAATCTGGGCTGCTTGATAGCATCATGGCTTATTTTTAGAGGCAGGCGTGTTTTGCTTCAGGAAGCATGAGCAGAAATGGTGTTTTATAGGCTAAAGGTAACTGCTCCTGCTGCAAGGGTAGAGAGCTGTGGTTTCAAGGGAAACAAACGCGCTTCCTGTAAAACTCACCGTGTGGTGACTCTGAAAACTCACCCCGCGTTTCCGTAAAATAACTTGTGTCCTCAGGAACATTTTGCAAATGCTAAATATTGTGTCCAAATTAACCTAAATAATGAGTTATTTCATATTACTCAGGAAAAGCGATATTCTCCACAGAGAAGTGCTGTATAAGCATGTTGTGGACAGTGCCAAATGACTAATTTGACTGTGTTTAAAGCATTTCTAAGACAGACTTTGCAGTATAGATATCTTGCATAAATGAAGAATAAGACCACTGCAGTTTCAGTGAGGACTGTTGCTAACAGAATCACTTCTCAAATATTGTTTTTCATATATATTCAGTCTTACAAAAGTGTACTTTTTCCATCACTCCCTTCTGCAAATGAAGCCAAAGTGCAATACTGATAGAGATAGCTAGAAAACCCAGTACAAGAGCCCAGAAGCCTGCTGAATGATCTGASGTGAGGCAATGTGCTGCTGTAGTGAGAGAGCAACAGTATTGGGACTGTGCAGCACCACRTATTTTGGACACCCATACATGCATGAGAATTTACACCGTTTTGGCAATCCATGGGCCTATTCCTCTTGGAGAAGGAAGACTGTGGTTTCTGGATTGCTTAATTAATGCAGGTTTTGTAGATTCAAAGTGAGGATACTTTTTCAAAAATGTTACTGAGGAAACTTTTTTCCCCCCATGATTTTTAGCATCTTGTAAAACACTTCCTAGGAGGCTATATCACATGTAGCAGTGCCTCCTTCTATATGAAGATGGTCTATGCTGTCATCTTAAGCAATTTTGACCCCTCAGCTCTGCTTCTGGCCCTGTCAGGCTTCCCAGTTGTTCATGGAAATACAGCATACTGCACATTAGCTTCCCATCTGTAAAATGGGGACAATGAGCTATTTCATGTGGCTAATCCTAGGACAAGACATCCAGTTCACCTTCAGTGACTCCAGGGGGATTCCACACTTTTATTAGGTGGAGCAGTTGCTTATTACCCCATCAAGGCTTCTCGTTATTATAAGCATGTTTGAGGCAAACAAGCAGCCAGTGTCTCATTAAACTGCAGAAGGAGTCCCACAGGAGTAAGTATCTGCTACTCATTTTGGATTGCTATTAGGCTTCTGGTGGGTAGCAGTTAGTGGATTAAGTAGGATTCCCCAAATCCAAATTCATGTRTTGATCCCACTTTCTTGTGACAAGCATTCCATGGAAAAGTAAAAGTTGCAGTTTGCGTATTGTGGCTCAAACAGAACAATAATGTTGCTTGTGTTGTCAAATAATTAGTCTTCAGGGTGTTCCTCTCAGTTCTTTGTAGAACTGCGATTCCTCCAGCTTTCATGGTAAAGGTTTCCCTCAGGTCCTATTATTTTTGACTTTTGTCTTCCTCAGAGTTAAAATGCCTGCTTAAATACCTTACAGATAGATGCACACATGAAATGGCAAAAGGTCAAGTCTTGCAACCTCTCGTGCATAACATTGCTTGCAGAGCCATTGCCTGCTGACAGTGTTCTCCTCTGACTATGATCCTGCATGTGCAGAAGTGTTAGTTGATCATGTCTATAACATCTGTGGCYGTATGTTTTCCGTATGAACTTACAGCTCTATATTTGTACTGCTTTATTTTTTTCAACAATGCTTAATGTTTGTCCTTATACAATAGACTGTCTACTTTTTTTTTGTATTTGTCTGTATCTTCTCTCCCATGTTTCTTTTCCTTCTCCTGCATCTTAATTCAGTCTCTGCTCTTCTGTTTGCGCTCTGCTACGTTTTTTTTTATACATTTATAATTTGACATAACTTGTCAGATTTTCTAAATCTTACTATCTCTCTTCTCAATACTGATGTTACAAGAACCTGAAAGCAAAATGTCAGACTGGTAGTGCCTGAAGTAGGCATAAGACAAGACATATTTTTCTCCAGCTGGGATTTTAAGAAATTACAGGCAAGTACAGGAAGGAAAAAAACTCAATGTCCCTATAACATTATGATAACGTCATGTACTTGATCAGTATTATGCTTTTTTTCCTAAGACCATTTCATTGTGCCAGTTAGCACATGTTTAAAATGAAATTAAGGACACGAACTTTAACCTGAAAGGAAATACATCAAGTAGCCTGAGCTCTTGTTTCACACACTTACACCCATACAGAGCTAGATAGCTAGTTACAGGTGTCCTCCAGGAAGACCCCTGGCTTTGCAGTGGACACCTAGGGAATGGGGAATAACTGGAGATGGTGACATCTCTGGTGGAGACCGAGGAGTTGTTCCGAGTACTCGGAGTCACAGCTGCAGTTCGTGAGCAGTCCCGGTGATCTCTGCCCCACTGTCCAAGCACTCGTGTTGGGGTAGCACAAGCTGAGATGGGAACAGTTTTCACTCAGGTTTTAGTGTGTTATGTAAGTAGCGTAACAGAGTGGATTGAATCATAGCTCTATGTGCTCTTTGCATGGCCTGCTTTGCAGCCTGCCTCGCTACGGAGTSGGGGATTTACTGCAGTTTATGTTTGGTGAGAATCAGCTACCTACCCAATTCTCATTTCCCAAGGGCGAGAGTATTGCATTAGCCTGATGCAAAGAAGCAGAGTTGTCCCTGCTTCAGCTGCCCGACTTAGTCCTGCTGCAGTGGTGGTAGGGTAGGGCTGCCCTTTTCCATATTATCTCAGTAAACTTGGGTTCTGCATTCACTAGARTTACTAAAAATGTCCTATCACTTCTGCCCCTGTCTATTTTAATCGAGTTCATGTGTGGAGAGGCTGTTGGCTGCCACCAGCATCTTAGGTGCTTGTAGCCATTAATTCTGCCCAGAGCAAACTTCATTAACACACGAGTTTCAGACCTGACACAGCAAAGCGCTTAAGCTGGGCACGGCTCTGGGCAGTCCCACGGAACGGGGTAACGTGATACACATGATGTTTACGCACCAGTGTAAGGGCCCGCTCTACTGAAGATTTAAAGATGTAGCCGATCTACCTTTTCCCAAGTAAGCATCAATGTTGGGGAGGTACAGAAACTACTGATTGTACACGTCCTGCAAACCTGCAGGATAAAATAGTGCGTCAGCCAAATTACCTCGTTAAAAAAGCTGCTAGGTTTCGTCGTGGAAAAGAACAAAATTAGCATATATTGTTAAAGAATAGCACTGAAATCTTTGTTTTTGTGTGAGTGTGTTTTTAATAGCCAGCTTGGGTAGGGCTCAAGCAAGGAATATTTGGATTTGGAAAGAAAATTTGAATGTATGAGATCACTTAGGAAATCAGCACTTTTTCCTATCCCAGTAGAATTTACAGATAAGGACTATAGATATTTTTATTTTATTTCCTTCTGTTGACATTTCTGTAAGAAATTACTTGGGAAGAAGTGTTTATAGCTTTTATCAGACTATAGCACTGTTTAACACGCGCCTTGACATCCATCTCCATTATGGACATCATAATGGCCATCCATCTCCATTATGCTTTAACAGTTGTACTCATTGGATAGGGAAGCCAAAAATGAGGTACGTCCCCCTTTATGGGCAAGAACAGGCTGTACATCTGCGATCCTCTGGGCTGCACTGCTGCAGCAAAAGCTGTGGATCTCACATAGGTAGTCACAGATTGACAGGTTTCTTGTTTCCATGGTGCATAAAATAGCAGAAGTTTTCTCTTYTTTTTTTTTCGGTTTGGTTCTACTTGGAGCTGACTTGCTGAATAAAAAATTGGCTGGTTTGCAGGAAGGCTTTAAACTTTTTGTCTTTTAAACAATGCCAACCAACAGATAAGCGGTGCCGACAGGGAGCTGGAGAACTCCCACAAATTATCTTTCCAACAACAGTTAACGTGTTATTAAGAATTTCCATGTCTACATACTAATTATTCTGAGAGCCAAGATTTCTTTTTTCTTTTTTAATTTAGCAGCAGCTTTATTTTGTGTGAGCAGATCCTGCWCCGTTGCTACTGGCAATAAAACGTGGCCGAGGAAAGGTCACGTCGGGAACAYGATCCCGGGCGGCAGCAGCAGCAGCAGCAGGGTGCGGGGCCCGTGTCCTGCCGCGCTTTCCCGGCCGGGCGCAACATTGTCCTGCCAAAGCCTAAATCTGTAAAAGTAAATGTAAATTGGCTTTAACTGTTGCAGCCCAAAACGAAACATTAGTAGGCAAGGCTCAGCAGATTTGGGTAGTGTGGGAAAGGCTACGTGACCGAGGAAGGGATTTCCTAGCTGGGTCCAGCCTGTTGCTGCACACAGATGTAACTTTCAAAAATTGGCCAAGCTTCTTGTGGAAGATATTGGGGGTTTGTGTTGCTGGTTGGAGCTGGCGGGAGGTTCTAGACCCCAGCTGCTGTAAAGCTGAGGTTTAAATTTAGACATGAATTCTGGTGTTTTTTTCATGGTCAGTCTGTATGCTCTTTTTTCCTGTTTGAAAATTTTTCCTTTAGCTTCCCGTTGCTCAGATGCAGCCTTATCCCCCTCTTAATGATACGTGTGAACGTCTTAAGTTTGTCAAATTAAATGTTGTACAACTTCAGGATACTATTCTGAAGGCAAAAGGAGGATGGAGCCTCCTGCTC